TTGTTTATTTGTAACGAATTTGAGATTGATTAACAAGATGTTGCTTTATAAGACGAAGAAGATTCAATCCGGGAAAGGAAATCGGTTGTTGATTAGTATAACTGTTGTTGGGAGTGCTGGACCGATCCGATTTGTTGTTAATGAAAAGGAGCTTGTGGCTAATGTTATTGATATCGCGTTGAAAAATTATGCTCGTGAGGAGAGGCTCCCTGTTCTTGGATCAAATTTTAATAATTTCGTGCTGTATTGCCCAACCGTGGTAACAGAAGGTATTGATAGTATTGTAATTGTTTATATTTCGTTGATTAGTTGCAATTTGGGAAATGTGTTTTGATTTGGCTTAGCTGAGATTGTTTTGTTATGATATTACTCGAGATTGAGAAATGAGATTGCTTCGTCCTGGCATGGTGTTTAGTTTAAATTTGCTTCTTATTGCCATGTTAAATATGTTCTTGCTTACCTTTCATCGTTTCCAATTCTGCTTTCGTATATTGATCAATGTCTTATTCAGTTTACATGTATAATTGATTAGTTAATCATGTATATATGAATAAAAGGACCTGAGAACAGGGGCGGAGCCAGCCTTCTGGGCCCTTCGGTGGAAATATTACTATTTATTTATACACGGTTAAAATTATTTTTTATCTATATATATATAATAGATGTCGAACCCCCTTTGGTTAGTTGGTGTGTTTAGTTCTTCAGATATTGAACCCCTTATTAAAAATCCTAGCTCCGCCACTGCTTGAGAATGTTGAAAGAAAATGTCCCACCCCTATCCACTAAGTCTTCAACTTGCCCCTCCTTGTCCAGCCTCATTACTATCCCTAAACTTGCTGCGAAGTATTTTATCTTTGTATTGCTGCTCGTTGGCTAAGATGCTTTTCATGTGTGACATTGTAGAGTTATGTTGGTTGTGACTTCTGCTGTTTGTTCCAACTATATCTTAAAAGGATTTGGTAGGCGTAAACCTTTTCATTTTGTGGTGATGTGTGTTTTTGCTTACATTTGTGTTGTTATTTCAGATTTGAGTCCATGGGAGACGATTGGATCGCTTGGTGTTCGTAACTTTGTGCTGGTCAAGAAGCCACAGTCTGAGAATCCAATTCTTGATGCGAAACAACCAATTCTTGATGGGAAACAAGTAGTTATGGCTCGGAAGGGATCTGGAAGTTGGAAGGCATGGTTCAATAAATCACTCAGTCGCAAGATAGTTTCTTACTGAATTCACAGAGTCGACGTGAAGTAATCTATAATTCTCTATTCTTTTTTCATGTCTCTATGTTTGATCTTGTTGGTGTTTTCGTAATGAGAAATTAAACGTTTTATCAGTTCTTTAGATTTGTAGTCTGTTGAAATTAGTCGTTCAAATAAAGCAAATCTTGGTAGAGAGTCCCCTGAGTCACTGTCAAGTCTTACTTGTTATATTCAGGTTAAAATAGATATTGGTTGATTATGCAATGAGTGATTGTTACTAACACTTTACTTCTTTTTCTTAAAATGTAATGAATTTGAAGAGCTTATGCTTCTTCCTTTCTAGCTTACTGGCAAAAGTTCTTTCCCATGTTTGGTTGCCCAACTTTTTTGGAAAGAAAGTATATTCATTTCTATAGCGCCCAAGGTTGTGGCCTGGTGGTCAACGAAATGAGTTAAGAATCATGATATCAGGTTCGAAAAACACTAGGTGATCTTCCCATATGTTCTAGCCTTGATGAACATAGTTACTTAGTATGTATTGCTGGTGGAAGATAATAGATATTCCGTAAAATTAGTCGAGGTGTGCCAAAATTGGCCTGACGGCAAGGGATGGAATTGTCCCTTGACCCCTCCTATTCACATAGTTTTTTTGAAGAGATAAGGCAGTATGTCCCATTCCTTGTCATGTGTTTTAGTCTTTTGGCACAAAAAATGGCTAGTTCACAATCCACATTCCTAGTCACAATAAGAATTCAGAATATTTGTACCTAGTAAAAGTTTAATAGGGATAATACATAAATATGGGCTTTAACTTAGCTCCAGTTAACATCTATGCCTTTCAATTTTGATTGTGCATCAGGTAGACATTTAAAATTGTATAAAATTGAACAAGTAGACACACATGTCCTACGTGACATAATACACGTAGGACGCCACATAGGATACTGAATTTCTATGTAGGACGCCAAGTAGGACGTGTGTGTCTACTTGTGCACAATCAAAGTTGAAGGACACAAATATAAATGAGGTCAAATTAAAAGACACATTTATATATTATGCCAATTTAATGTGGAAAAATCGAACTATTTGATCCTTAATAGAAATGAAGATGTACATTTAATTTCCAAATAAATAAAAAGAGCATTAATTAGTAGTAAAAGAAAAAAAAAACATCAGTTAAAATGTAGTTTTAGCATATGAGAACAAAACTTGCAACGGCTGAATAAAACGCATTCCTGGAATGCGATTTAAGAACAAATTCCTCCGTTTCAAAATATGTGGAGTTCCACGTGATGTTTTTCAAATTTTACCCTTTTTATATAAGAAAGTTTTAGGTAACCAAAAAATACCAAAGAGTTGCATTCCATTTTTTTAGAACTTACTTGTAAGACTATACTGTGTATGTTATCACTGTTAGGGTTTTGCCCTGATTTTCTTACCATAATTTAAGATTTATTTTTTCTTAAAGAAAAATTAAAACATTACCATAAATATTTTTACTTTTTTTGAAAGGAAAATATAGTATTATTTTATATTTGGTTTATTCTCTCCTTTAGGACTCCTTTTCTATTAAGAAAAGGTTTTAGGACTCTATAAATATAAGTTTGTTTTCTTCTAACACATATAACAATAGCATCCACAATGTAGTTCTTTAAGAGTTTTGTTTATGGGGAGATTTTCTCTCTACAGTTTCTATGTTTTTTGATTAGTTTTTAATTATGTAGGCCAATTGGTCATATCCTACAATAATATATTTCTTTTAGTATAATTTTATGTTTCGTCTAATTTATCGTCTTATGATTTGCAATTGTAAGCTTCCACATGACGTCCTAATCACCTTCAGAACCCAACAATCACTACAATAAAAACAACTTTTAGTGACAATAAATAGACACATTAAACAAGAGTGCTAAAGTCTTTACCACATTAGTTAAGTGCCATTAGATCTAGTATAGCTAAAGGCTTTAGGGACATATACAAAGAGTGCTAATTGCCGCTAAAAATAAATATTTAGCGGCAATTAAGCTATTACCGTTAATTAATTGCTGCTAATGATCATTTTTGATGCAATGTATTGTACCCCTTTGGTCCATTTTATTTGTCATGTATTTCTTTACACGTTTCTCAAGAAAATATTAACTAAAAGAGTAATTTGATTAAATTATTTTTATTTATTCTTTGATCTTAATTTAATATTATTATTCTGTTTTTCATGATATTAATCTCTCCACATTTATTGAATAATAAATAATTAGTTATATCTTAAAAATCTAAAATGACAACTATTTTGGACCAACTACTCACTCCGTTTCATATTACTTGACTCATATTGATTTGACATATTCTTAAGAAATTTTTAATTAGAGATGTATTTTATTAAAAAAACCTTATTAATGATGCTTTGAAACTCTAAATTTGTCACCTATTACTTTATATAGTTATTTAATACTAAAGGTAGTATAGAAAAAAGTATAACTCTCTTGATCTTCTAAAATAAGATTTATTTTTAATATACAGATAAGTAAAATAAAACAAAGAGAGTATGTGTACAAGAAGTATGCCCATTATTGGAAAATGATGACCTACTACTTTGAATTGCTACAAATTTGAAGAAAGGTGATAATATCTGTTTAGATTGCCAACTAAAAGACCATGTACCAACATTAACATAAAATATGTACATGGAAAGTGTGTGTTAAATTAAAATTAGGATATTATTGGTTGAGAAGATGACCTAACAAACAAGTTTTCCTACCAATTATCACAACCAAAACTTAATTCTCAATTCCTATTTTCAACATTCACACATCTATATAAACTTGTTAAAAGTGAAACTTAAAAGTAGAATCAATCTTCAACAATGTCTTACCACCAAAATCAATCTTTTTTCTTGTTATTACTTGTCACTTTGTCAATAACAAATTGCTATGTAATTCAAGCAGAAGCGCGCCATCTTCTTGAAGTAACTATTCCCAAGCTTCCTAAGCCTGAATTGCCACAACTCCCAGAAGTCCCAACTTTACCAAAGCTTGAATTCCCTGAAATTCCAAAACTTGAGCTACCAACTCTACCAAAGGCCGAACTTCCAACGTTGCCAAAACTCAAGATACCTGTCATTCCTAAGCCTGAACTACCAACGTTGCCAAAGCCAGAAATTCCTCAAGTGCCTAAAAAGCCTTGAGGAAATATATATGAAATGCTCTTTGATTCATTGAAAGCATTCTTGAAATGTTACGCTTTATTATTGTGTTATATGGTCATGAGTTTTTCTTTGTTGTGCTAGAAAATTTCATTTTGGATATATTATAGTTGTCATGATATTCTATCATCAATTACAAAAACTGTTAATGTAATTGTTCAGTCATCAGTTCACTATTGTATTTGTGTTTCAAGTGGTATGCATTATACACACATTGTGTTACAATCCAAAATCCAAATGGTATTTATTTATCAATATAAATAGACTCAGGCTGATCCGTCATCATTAAACAGAATTTTACAAACTGTTGTTCAATTCACAAAGAAATTAAAAAATACACTCTATCTTTTACTACATAGTAGACTGTTGAGAATATCATTAAATAATAAAAGCGTGTTCTCTCTAACAACTTAAGCTTTTAGATGAGATGGTCACACTTTTATTATTTAATGATATTCTCAACACTTCAACATAGACATTACAAAGCACAACACACATTATTATAAGACTTAAGACAACAATTTAATTCCAAACATATGGTATATATACTCGTACTCTTTAAAAATGTTGTTGCGTCCATGTGAGACAACACACATCCATCAGTATTATCAAAGAGTCCAAACAACATAAGTATACATATGTAGCAATATTTATTTATCAGTTGAGATGGTGAGTCTCAATATCTTTGGACATATTGAGAAGAAGTTCCATATATGTGTGTGGATCTGGCATATTTTCATTCTTCTTTTCATATTCTGCGATCCAAGTAACTAAGTTATTTTCATCCTTTGTCTCAACATGAACAGTAAAAGAGCATGCTTTGTATTCCTCCAATATATCTCCTCCAGTCACTTTGAATTTAACCAACTTCTTTTCTTCATCTATGGCTTCAATTATATTCTTTGAAACCTTTTCTTTCCCATCTATAATATACAAAACAATGAATTAAAATAGTAATTAGCTATCGACAAATTTTGTAGCAAATAAACAATAAAATTCATTGTTAATTCTAATTAGCAATGAATTATTTATAAATTATAGATAATTGTGAATCGAGTTATTATTTACGAAACTCATAAATATTAAATCTCGAATCCGCCTCAATAATAACAGTTAGTTGATGTGGTATAGAAGAGGTGGTGGCTGGCTTACCATGAGTGAAGTACCAAGAAATGACAGAGCCAATAGTTCCCCATTCACCTTCATGAATGTCTACATTTTGTATTTTGTCACACATGTTTGAGATATGGTGTGGTCTATGCCTAAAGATCTCATGGAACACATCTCCATCACTCTTTATGTTTATCTCTGAAATCAACTTTCCTTCGAGGCTCATCTCTCTTAATTTTATGATATGATATGATATTTATCACAAAGTTATATTAACAAGTGTGTGTGGTTCATCATTGCATGACTCTCTGCCCTTTTATAGCTGTTAGGTAATGCTAAATTCTCATTTAGAATTTATGGAAATGATCTTTTGTAAAAACAAGAGTTCTACCATTCAAAACTTTCGAAAATGACCTTCTAAATCATTATAGATCAAAACGTCAAATAATAACATTATACATATATAATAATACATCACTATAATAATCATAATTTTTTTAGACAAACATTACTATTATATATATATAATAAGATTCGACTATATACTTGATAAGATTTCAATTACAATATCACTTATTAATTCTTTTTAAATATATATATATATATATATATATTCATGAATTCATGCCTAGTAAGTCACTTTTCTTCTTTTTGACAAAAGACAAAACATGTCACGTCAAATAGACATGATCATGGGGTATAATGTAACATGGATATCTTTTTCATGGGGTATAATGTAACAATAGTCATAAGTTTTTCTGATAAACATTACTATTATAATAAATATTTCACATTAAATAGACGTGGAGTTATTTTCATGAGGCAATAATGTAACAACTAACAACACATCATTATAATGATCATAAATTTTTCAAACAAACATTACCAATATTCGTTATGCAATGGTGCTTATATGCTTTTGTCAAAAAATAATGTGGCTGGGACAAGTTGAAGAAGTCAAAGGAAAAATATTAGTGAAAATCTACTTTAATAAAAGAAAATGATCAAAATGATCCTTAATGTATTTCACTTGATTGAAATATTGATCCTTAATGCATAATAAAGATATTCATTTTGGTCTTTAATATATTTCACTTGATTGAAATGATCCATAATATATAATAAAAATGTTCATTTTGGTCCTTAATATATTTTACTTGATTGAAATGATCCTTAATGTATATAAAATGTGTTCATTTTAATCCTTTACCCTAAACTTAACATATTTATGAAAAAGAAATAATTAAACTTAACTATGGATCTCACATGACTAACAAAATTCACCATTGTTGTCTTCTTTAATCTTCATAAGAAATCAACATAAAGTTATACAATATTGATTGTTCCTTTTTCTTTCCTTACATAATAATCGTTTCAATTTGTTTGTTTTACTTTACCTTTTAGATTTTAGTTCGTATAAAAAAAGTCTCTTTCCTTTTTAAAAATGCTTTAATTTTAACTTTCTACAAGATATGTTAAAGATCATAAGATTTAAAAAATATTTTGATACATCATATATATCTTTAATTTAAGACCACAAAATTCAAAAATATTTTTTACTTTATTAAACTCCGTTCCAAGTCAAAATGCGGATTCAATATTTGAAATTTATGTTTTAAAGATTTAAAATTATATATATATATATATAAGTGCATGCATGAGGGGGATTCAAACTCTCATCAAGGAGGTCAACAATACTTAAGTGGGGGTTCAATTTTCACCATTGGATCTAGAGACTACTCTGTAATTACTAGATCTTCCTTTCACATTTTTTATATAGATTTCTCAATATAAATATTAAATATACACAAAAAATATTGATTTTGAAAATCCTAGATCCGCCCCTAAAATATGTGGGAACAGGAATCTATGCATTTTTAATGCGGTGTCCGGTGGGATAGAACGTGGGAGAATATGAGGATTAGTAATAAATGGATTAAAATTACCAAATGATAAATAATGTATTTTAACCATATATAAACAGTGAAAAAAAAAAGATTCGGATGAACTTCCCGGCTTCACCTAGCTCCCCTGCTTGGTCAAGACAAGGTTACTTTACCTCTTCTCAAGGTTTAAAGTACGTGATCCACTCTCTTTATTATTGTTGATGAGATCATGTCTAGATCCCTTGAATATATGTTATTCTAATGCGTTCATGTAGGAAATATAAAACTAAAAACAAATTTGTAAAGACTATAAAACTACAAAAAGATCCCTTTCCCTCTAATGAGCCATATATATATATATATATATATATATATGTAATGAGAATCTATATTAGTGGAGCTAACCATAAATTTTGAAACCAAATATAATAGTACTAGTTTACCATGAGTGAAGTTCCAGGACTTAACAGAGCCAATAGTGCCCAGTTCACCTTCATGAATATCCACATTTTGTATCTTATCAGAGCATATGCTAGAGATATGATGTGGTTTGCACCTAATCATTTCATGAAACACATCTCCATCACACTTGATATTTATCTTAGAAACCAATTTTTTAGCTTCAAGAGTCATTTTTCTTCTATGATATATCACAAAGTAATAATTAATACTCCCTCCGTCCCATATTATGTGAGGTAGTTTGACTCGGCACGGAGTTTAAGAAAGAAAGGAAAACTTTTAAAACTTGTGGTCCAAAATGAAAGATAGAAATTTGTGTGACAGTAAATGATTTCATTAAGGGTAAACTAGACATTTTATAATTAAAATATTACTTAATATAGAAATGTATCATTCTTTTTGGGACTGACTAAAAAGGAAAGTAAGTCACATAAATTGGGACAGAGGGAGTAATAAATGTGTGGTTCATCATTATATGAGTATCTCTACCCTCTTATAGTTAGGCAATGTCAATATGTCTAGATTCTAGGCAATAAATTTTGTATTTTTTTTGGCCTATACATACCCCCCAACCAAACACTATATCTCTTTTGCAAATTTTATGTTAAGATTAATTATAGACATGTTGCATTAGAATTGGAGATGCCAATGCTAATACTATTAATTTCTATGCTGAAGCAATTAGAGCAATAGAAGAGGAATTGCCTATTGTGTGAGCTATCATCTAATGCCTTTGACTATAAAAATTCCTTTTGTCTCCATATTTGCACTCACAAATGCTGCAACTACAAGAAATATTTGAGCTTTCAGTAGCGACTAGCCAAAAAAATTGAAACAAAATCATTTCAGTAACCTATAAAATATGTATAGATGTTATACATGGAAAGTTAGTGTTGAAATAAATTAGGATATTATTGTTGAGAAATGACCTAACAAACAATTTTTCCTACCAATCACAACCAAAACATCCACATATCTATATAAAAAATAAACTTGTTCAAAGTGAAACCTAAAGTACAATAAATCTTCAACAATGGCTTACAACCACAACCGATCATTTTTCTTGTTATTACTTCTCACTTTGTCAATAAAACAAGTAGCTATGTAATTCAAGCAGAAGCGCGCCATCTTCTTGAAGTAACTATTCCCGAGCTTCCTAAGCCTGAATTGCCACAACTCCCAGAAATCCCAACTTTACCAAAGCCTCAATTCCCTGAAATTCCAAAACCCGAGCTACCAACTCTACCAAAGCTCGAAGTTCCAACATTGCCAAAACTCGAGATGTCTGTCATTCCTAAGCCTAAACTACCAACTTTGCCAAAGCTTGAAATTCCTCAAGTGCCTAAAATGCCTTGATGGCGCGCGATGCATATATATCAAATGCTCTTTGATTCATTGAAGCAGCATTCTTGAAATGTTACACTTCATTATTGTGTCATATGGTCATATGTTTTTCTTTGTTGTGTCATGATATTATTTATGTCATGATATTCTATCATCAATTACAAGAATTGTAAATGTAATTGTTCTGTCATCAGTTCACTATACACACATTGTGTTACAATCCAAAATCCAAATAGCATTTATTTATCAATATCAATAGACTCAGACTGAGTCATCATTAAGCAGAATTTTACAAACCGTTATTCAATCCACAAAGAATTAAAAATTACACTCTTTTTTTTTACTACATATAGTAGACATTACAAAGCACACCACACATTATTATAAGACTTAAGACAACAATTTAATTCCAAACATATGGTACATATACATTGCTTGTACTATTTAAAAATGTTGTCGTGCCCATGTGAGATAACACGTATCCATCAGTTATTATCAAAAAGTCCAAGCAACATAAGTATACATATGTAGCATTACTTATTTATCAGTTGAAATGGTGAGTCTCAATATCTTTGGACATATTGAGAAGAAGTTCCATATATGTGTGTGGATCTGGCACATTTGCATTCTTCTTTTCATATTCTATGATCCAAGTAGCTAAGTTGTTTTCACCTTTGCTCTCAACATGAACAGTAAAAGAGCATGATTTGTATTCCTCCAATATATCTCCCTCAATCACTTTGAATTTAATCAACTTCTTTTCTTCATCTATGGCTTCAATTATATGCTTTGAAACCTTTTCTTTCCCATCTGCAAACAAAGAAAAGATCAAATATTTTCATGTCTTAAATTTGGGTGAGTCAATCAAATTATATTTGCATGTTAAACTTTACACCCTCTATATATGTTGTCTATTTGATTCAGTAAAAGGTTATTAATAAAGCATGCTTAAGGATGGGTTTCAGTAAAAGGTTATTACAAAATATAAATTTAATAAAATAAAATAATCAACATTTCATATTCGTTTGCTAGTGATGTAATGGTTGGTGAATGGTGTCAATGGCTAGTAATAGTGATGGTGATAGTTGTGATGATGGAGGTGGTTATGTTGTAATAACTAGATGGTTACGGTTTGTAGCAGTTGTGATGGTGAAGTTAGTTGATGTTAGTAGTTGGCAGTATTAATGGTGGTGACTGAAGAATGTGTGGTGATCGATGATGTGTTGGTGGTAGTTAACGATAGTGCTAGTTGTGAAGGAGGAGTTAGTTGGTAGTAGGAATTGACATCACTAGTGAGAGTGACTTATAGTAGTGGTGACAGGGATGAAATGAGTGGTGGTGTCAATGGATATATTATAATGATGGAGGTGCATGGTACGTGCGGTAGCGACTAACAATAATGGTTCGCAATAGTGTAGTTGTCAGTGGTGATTGAGATGACAGAGGTAGTTGGTGGTTGATGGCGATAATGACGGTTGACAATAAGGATAGTACCTGTGATAACAAAGATGTTTATCGATGGTTGATGATTGTGATAAAGTGATGGTGAAAATGATCCATACAAAGATACCTCTTAATGATATTATGATTTTGTTTAATATCTTAATATTTAAGACCTAGCTATTCTTGATACAAGTGTTAAAATCTTAATATATAAATAAATGCGCCTGACTTAACGTCTAAACCATTCAGATTTACACCTCCATTAAATACAAACAAATGAGACCTAATTTAATAAGATATCAATCAATTGACCCTGAAAAAATCCCTAGTATATATGTTATATATTCTTATGTGTTAATGTAAAAAAATATTAAATTTAAAACGAATTTGTAAAGACTAAAACTAATGGATCCCTTTCCCTTAAATGGGCCATATGCAATGAAATCTAGATTAATCGAGCCAGTAAGAACTGAAACCAAATGATTAATTATTTGAAGAAGAAATAGGCTTACCAAGGGTGGAGTTACAAAAGATAACAGAGCCAACAGTGCCCCATTCACCTTCATGAATATCCATATTTTATATCTTATCAGGACACATGCTAGAAATATGATGTGGTCTATACCTAAATATTTCATGGAAAACATCTCCATCACACTTTATGTTGATCTCTGAAACCAACTTTCCTTCAAGACTCATCTCTCTTAGTTCTATGATATGATATATCAAAAAATTATATTAACAAGTGTGTGTGGTTCATAATTGTATGACTCTATGCCCTTTTATAGCTGTTAGGCAATGACAATATGCCTAGACTAGTGCTGGCAAAATGAGCCCATATTTTGGTAACTCGCCCATGTTTTAATGGGTTGATCTTGATTTACGAATTATTATAGAGAATTCGTTGGTAGAATGGGAAGAATTGGGGGAAGAAGGGCATACAGGGAATGAATGGGAAGATCGAAAAGTTGGAAGAAGAAAGGACTTTTTGGTTAGACGCGTGGAATTGGCTAAGCATTTTATTCGAACAAATATAGAGCCAGAATGGATGGTTTTGTGTCTATTACCAGTTCTTCCTCCTGAGTTGAGACCGATCATTCAGATAGATGGGGGTAAACTAATGAGCTCAGGTATTAATGAACTCTATAGAAGAGTTATCTATCAGAACAATACCCTTACCGATCTATTAACAACAAGTAGATCTACGCCAGGAGAATTAGTAATGTGTCAGGAGAAATTAGTACAAGAAGCCGTGGATACACTTCTTGATAATGGAATCCGGGGACAACCAATGAGGGACGGTCATAATAAAGTTTACAAGTCATTTTCTGATGTAATTGAAGGCAAAGAGGGAAGATTTTGTGAGACTCTGCTTGGTAAACGAGTCGATTATTCAGGAGGTGAGTAACTTTTTACATGGATAAAATATGGGTTGATACCCATATTCAACCCATAAAAATATGGGTAAACTATGGAGTAGCCAAATGGGTTAAGCTTCTAACGTTTATTCACTCAAAATTCATGATATCACTAAAAAAATTTGTAACTTCTCTTCCTTTTTATGTTCTTCTATAGAACTAATTATTTTTCTCTATAATTGAAAATGTGAAGTCTTTGGCCCTCCAAAAATAAATATTTTAAATGTACATTTTTTTTGTTAATTATAATTATATTTTTATATTTGTTTAATTTTATATTGGATAATAAATAATAATGTAAAATAAGCAAATCATGTATTAGTATTGACATTGCTTAAGCCTTAAAGTGCATTAAGCATGTTTTAGTCCTAAAATGCAACTATTCATTTACTTTGAAATTAAAAATATTTTCCCCTTGTTATTATATAAATTTATTTTATATTGAAAAGTTAGGATTTTTTTTTCTTTGACTTTTATGATACAATAAAACTAAATGAAGCATTTTCAATGTTTTTCATCTAAAAAAAGACTAAAATATTTTCTCCATGTTGAATTCTTAAGTAGAGTACTATTTACTCATGAAAATATGGATAAAATATGGATAAACTAATATTTTATCCAATCCATTTGTTACCCAATCCATTTTTACCCATATCAAATATGGGCGAGTTGAATTATTACCCATATTTTGTTGACCCATTTTCATCCCGCCCAAATTTGATCCAACCCGCCCATTGGCCACCACCAGTCTAGACTCTAGGTAGACTATAAATTTGTAACTTTTTTTTTTTTACCTATATTCATATATAATCATACATAAGTAAAAAATGGAAAGACCAAAATAGTAATCAAAAGTTGAACAAATATTTTGTCCATCCAAAAATCAAATTAACAATAATAATAGTGTAGTTCCACAAAAGTGGATCTGAAGAGAATAGCGTATACGCAGATCTTATCTTTATTTCAAAGATAGAAAAATTGTTTCTGAAAGCTAGTCAACCCAAGAAAAGCTAGTTCAAAACAGTTTAAATTGGAGTAACGGAAGTTAAAGCAAAAATGTAATTTCAAATTATTGATTTTGGTTTTGAAAATAAATTTTTGGTATAAAAATCAAAATGAAGCAATCTAAGAAGAAGAGTAACAAATTTCGCTATATTGATATTTTAATTCAAGTCTCTTCCACTATTCCAAATTAAATACTTTCCCGTTTATTTTTATCTGTCACTGTTTGACTTGACATATCAATTAAAAAAATAATTGATATAAGTAGTTTACCACACTACCCATATTAATTGATGTTTAATTAGTATTAACTCTTGAAAAATGATTTGAAAAATACAGTATGTAATACTATGGTAAAATATGAATTTTTTTTTTTGTCTTTTCTTGATATGTCAAAATTGTAACATCCGGCAATTTGAAATAACTATGAAAAAGCTTGGAAATTGGAAATAGTCATTTTTGGAAAAAATTTAAAATCTGGAAATTTGGTTAAGTGTGGGAAATCAGTGAGTTTTTGGCCAACTTTGAGCGGTCATAACTCCTAGCTCAGAATGAGTTAGGAGTAGTTCCAGTTATGGTTGTGAAGCTTGTGGAATGATCTTTCCAACGCCGCCGAGTTTGCTCAATTCCGAGTTCGTATGAGAGAGTTATGTCCATTGAAAGTTGGGCAGTTGGCAGGGAATTCGTCCGGAAATTTTAAGGGCATTTTGGTCTTTTCCCTAGCCATTTCTTTTGGGATTATATTGTTGTATTAGGCTGATATTTGGATCATTTTGTCCCATTTTGAAAGAGAAAGAGTTAGGGTTCTTGAGAGTGAATAGGAGAAGAGAGAAAGAAGAGAAGAAGAAGAGGAGATCAAGGAGTTCCGTCAAAGATTGTCGTGGAAATCGTCGGGGGTGATCCCTACCAAGGTATGTGAGTTCTTAGTGTTTGGTGATCCTTTCCCCCCACACACCAAGCTCATTTTTATGATTTGAGAAAAGATTGGAATTGTTGTTGAAGTTGTTAGTTGTTGTTGATGTTGTTAGTTGTGTTGTTGAAGTTATTGTTGGTTGTGGGACATGATTGGGTTGTGTATTTGAGTTGTAATCAATTATATGTTGAAAGATTGATGATCCTTAGTGTTTGGGGTTAAATCCATTGAAGTAAGGATGGTTTAGAGTTGGAGAAACAAGGGAAAAAAGTCGAGTTTTCTGGGCAAGGGGTCGGCGCGTCGCGCCTGCCAGCACCCCCCAAAAGGGGTTCTGAAGTTTTCCCCTTGGGGCGGCGTGCCTCTTAGTTCGCCAGCAGGCCCTCTCTGAAGTTTTTGGTCTGGCGCTCCGCGCCTCTCAGAGCGCCAAGTTTTCCCATTCTTTCCATGCTTTCTCATGCATGTTCCTAGGTGTTATACCTATGTTCCCTAGTTGGTTCCAGCACTCTAATGTACATTTAAACCTCCCGAACTCATCTATAAACATGCGATTATATGTCTTGAATCCATAATCCAATTCAAGGCGAGTTAGGATCAAAGTTAAGGGAAGTTAGAATCAAGTCAAGCAAGGTTTAAAAGCAAGTTCAAGTAAGTTTTTAAAGTTATTCAAGAGTCTTTATTAAACATTTTCACTTCATTCTAAGGCTCAAGTTGCAAGTCAAGTAAAGAGTAAACAGTCAAGAGTTCCAAGTTGAGTTCATTTCTCAAAGTTATTAGGGAACTATGTATTCCCAAAGAAGTTTTAAAGAAATGTTTTTACATTTAAACAAGGTTGGAAACTGAGATTTCCAAAGAGCCTTCGGGCTAGTTTTTGAGTAATTATCTCATATCAGCAGGAA